AGCCAGAACTTCAGAGGAGATGGCCCTGGCTTCAGAGGATGAGCTGTTTTAAGAGTGACTGTCATGGTTTCTGAACAGTGAGTAAAAACTGACATCTACTCTGTACACATTATGCAATTTTTTTTTAAAACTAGTCTTATTTATTTTATTTTATTTATTTTTTGTCTTTTTGTTAGCATCCAGAATGAGTAGGTCAAGATAGGTGGGGCAAAATCTTGATTTTTCCTGTGCAAAAGTGTACACGTAAGTGAATGTAAGCAAACTGTGTGTCAGACAAGATTATTTCAGAAAAGGTATTAAAATGATGAGGAATGTTGTAAATGCACACTTGGTTGATTTATGTGACAAGGCTAATGGCAAAGCATATTTAGCTCTGTTAATTCCTACCATATTCTTATTGGTTGAGCAGAGTTACTCATCTCTATTTCAGAAGTTAGGAAATGGGAGCACAGAGTGCTTAAATAATTTCCCTGAAGTAACAGTATTAGGTGTTCAAGTCAGGATTTAAAATCCAGGCACATCAAAAGTTATTTTTATTCTTTCTCCTTCTTGTTTATTTTTAAAAATGTTTTCTTTAAAATAGTTCAAACACTTATATTTCAAATGCAAAATGACACCTGAAGCATGCATCCTCTCTCTGTGACTACCTTCTCTGCCTCCTGGGTGTAACTTACATTAGTTTCATCTACATTATTCAGTGTTTCCTATATAAACAAAGAATGTACACAGAGAGAATATTTCTCCCTTTTTGGCAAATGTACAATATGCATATGGTTCTGCATCTTGCTTTTTTATTTTTCATGGCTTCCCAAGAGTCCTTCTTCATTCTTCATCTACAGGTTCAGAGACCTCTAGTAACTATGTGTGCCATGATTTACTTAGCTGCTTCTCTAAAGGGAGTCACCTATGTTCTTCCAAAAACATATATTTTGTTTAGAAGGGACTCTAAAAACAAAATAGAAACATCCAAAAAAATCCAATCATTGAAACGATAAAATCCTTTCCTCAAAAATAGAGTAATTTGGGAGCTGAGAAAATGGCTCACAGGGTAAGTACTTGCTGCGCAAGGACTCAAAACCAGGTAGGTTCTCAGGATCCACACAAAAAGCCAGGTGTGGTGATGCACATCTGTCACTCCAGCACTGTGTGTGTGTGTGTGTGTGTGTGTGTGTGTGTGTGTGTGTGTGTGTGTGTGT